TGACTTTCTTTGTCTCTCTTAATTAGTTTTGGTTTGAAATTTACTTTACAAATAAGATAGCTACCCCCACTTTTTTCCGGGTTCCTGTTGCATGAACAACTGTTTTCCATCCTTTTACTTTCAGTCTATGAATTTCTTTTTTCAAATTTAATTAATTAATTAATTTTTAAATTTTTTTGGTACCAGGGATGGAACTTGGGTCCTTGCGCTTGCGAGGGAGGTGGTGAAACCACTGAACTAAATCCCCAGCCTAAGAATTTCTTTTTGAACTAGGTGCATTTCTTGTTTACAGCGTATTGTTGGATTTTGCTTCTTAATCCATTCTGCCAGTTTGTTTCTTTTGATTGGTGAATTGAGGCCATTAACATTGATGATTATAACTGATATGTATTGTCATGTTATTTTCCTGTTGTTGGCTCTTTTTTATTTTTTTCCCTTCTTCCTTTAATTCCTAGCCTTGCCTGATGGATTTGCTCTGTTGGGCCTCATGGAGTTGTGACTTTCATTGTCTTTTTCTGGGATAATGTTTAGAATTGTTTGGAGTGCTGGTTTCTCAGGTGTTCTTTTTCATGGAAGTATCTTATTTCTCCATCAATTTGGAAAGATAGTATTGTAGGATACTTCAGTCTAAGTTGGAGTTGTTTTCTTTTAGGGCTTGAAACATCTCACTCCAGGCTCTCTTTGACTTGAGGGTTTGTGTGGAAAATTCTGTTGTCATACTGATGGGCTTCCCCTTGCATGTGGCTTGTTTCTTTTCTCTAACTGCTTGTAGTATTTTGTTCTTCTGTTGGGTTTCTGGGATCTTGATTATTATATGTCTAGGAGTAGATTTTTTTTATCATGGCTAGTAGGAGTCCTATATGCCTCACTTATCTGTATGTCACATTCTTTTACTCTATTTGGGAAGTTTTCTGTCATTAATTCTGTGAACATTTTTTTAAAATGTCATTTGTACTTTCTCCTTTTTTGTGGACTCTTATCAGTCTTATATTATTCTTCTTTGCATCATCTAGGAGAAGTTGGATTGATTTCTCATGGTCCCTTACTATTTTTTAAATATCTCTCTTTTCATGGTCACTGACTGCCATCCTGTCTTCTATGTTTGATATTCTGTCTTCAGATTGGCTCAGTCTGCTGTGTATAATTTCAGTAGACTTTTTAATCTCCTGGATATCTGTTTGAATCTGTTTCATGGATTCCATTTCTTTCCTATGTTGGGAATTCATGGTTTCTATTTCTTTCCCATGCAGGGCATTCATGGCTTCCATCATAATCCTGAACTGATCTTTTCTTTTTTTTAATCTGTTTCTGTTCTAGAGTCTTAATCATGTCTTTCATTCTGCTCACCATCTTTGTAGTTATCTGGGAAATTATTTCTGTTTTGAATTTTTTAGAGCCTCATTCATCATTTTGTTATTTCTTGTGCTATCAGTTCAGGATGTCCAGGTGGTTGATTATCAGACTTTCCCACCCTATTTTCCAAAGAATTTGCCTTTGGTGAGCTGAAATTCTGGGTTTGTGCCTTGCTTAAATGTTTTCTCATCTCTATTTTTGTTGTTGGTACAGTCCTTGGTTTAATTCCTGGGTTGATGCTTTGATATTGCTTATTGTAAGTATCTCTGTTGTTTGTATTTAGGACCCTTATGGAATGATTGCTTCTCAGAGGTGTCTTCTAGATATAGCTGGTCTTTAGGTTATGAGTCTCTAATGACTTTGAGGCAATCTCATTTTCATTATACCAGGAAGGACAACTGATTAGATCAATCACAACATCTTAGCCCAAGTGATACTATCAGCAATACAATAACATCAAGCACAGTTTAGAAAATGACAATTTGTGGTAGTTATTAATATGTCACCTTTAACCATGTGAATTAAATAAAAATTGAGGACCAGCCAAAAATGTCTATAGTGAATAAACTCTTTAATATAGCAACTTTACCCTTCAGGATGGGGACTTAGAAGTTAGGAGGGAGCGATAGATAGGTAGAAGGATAGGGAAAGGTTAGAAGTGAGGCCAGAGGACACAGGAAGATCACGCAAACTGTAGGAAACTGTTGAAGACAAGAGGAAGACAGAATGAAAGAACAAAGACAAGAACAGAACAACCTAATAGCAATAGGAAAACTAGAAACTGTATTCACTGTCCTTTTAAACTAATGACAATTGAGAGAAGGAAAAGGAGAGAAGAAAATAAAAAGAAAAAAGCAATCTGAATAAGGCATGAATAAAAAGAGAGGTGAAGAACAATGTGGGAGAGTGAGAGTGTGAAAGAGAGGGAGAGAAAGAAAAGAAACAAGAAAAAGAAGAAAGAAAAAATTTTAAAAAGAGTAGAAAAAATTTCAAATTCAAATTAAAAATAATAGAAAATATTGAAAATAAAAAATAAAAATGCAGGGCCTCCTCAGGGTGTCTCTGCTGTCACAGTAGACAAAGTGGGCAGCAGTGTGCATATCTAAGCCAATTAGCCTCAGCAAAACAGCAGCAGACCCCTGAGATTCAGGCTGATTTCTGGCTGTAAGGCCCTGGTTGAGCCCCTGACCTCCTGCAAGGTTGAACTCTGCAAGGTTCTATTGCAGGTTCCAGCTGCCCTTCCCCTGAACATAGTCCAGGTTCTGATGGGAGGTGATGATCTCTCCAACTCACCAACCACAGAGATTTGGTGTGCCTTTATTGCAGGGATTCTCTTCCCTTTTCCAGTGGGCTTCAGTGCTCATCAAGGGCCCTGTGAGAGGCCCTCTTTCTGTGGTTCACTTCCACGCTGTCTTCTGGAGCTCAGGACAGTGGTCTTTATGACCCACTGTGCCACTGCAGTGTGGATCCAGGTAGCAGTGCATCCAGGATGCCAGAGGTATAGAGGGGTGTTGGCACTGGGTGGTGCTGCAGGCACCCACGGCTCTGCTTGGTGCTAAGAGGCTTGGGGTGGGGGTGGGGTAGCAGCTCAGCTCCGTGAAGCTCAGATCCTTGCCCATCCGCTCACTCAGTATTTTCTGTATTAATATCTACTAGTGTTACATTAAAATAAAATCATTTAAAATATATGAGGAAACAAAACAAAAGAATCTCATATATCTTGTAGCTGTTGGTGATGTGGGTGGTGTTGGAAGGGCTCTTGTGAAGCTTGTTGGGTCCAGCAGGCTGCTCTTAGAAAACTTGTTTCTTCTGGTTGATGACCTACTTGGGCTTCAGTTTCTGACATTTTTATTTATTCAGAAAATCATTCATTTCTTGCAAATTTTCATGTTATCTACATAGAATATTTTATTTCTCCCTTTGTGGTTGCTTTTCCTTTTTTTTTTTTTTTTTTGGTACTGGGGATCAAACTTGGGTCCTTGCACTTGTACTTGCAAGGCGGGTGGAGTGGTTTTTCTTTTCTTAGTTCTAATTTTATGCAGCTCTGCTCTCTCCCACATTTTCCTCCAGGAGACCAGTCATCAGGTTTCTCCCCCAGCCCCCATCTTTGTAAAGAACAGTTCTTTAAAGATCTTATTTTCCGGTTTTGATTATTAATTTTTTTATCTTGGTGTATTGATTCCCTTCTCACTTTCTTTTGATTCTTTGGTTCTGTTTCTATCGTTCTGAATTAAAGATCAAGTGGCTTGCTTATTCCTATTCCTTCTCATGCTTCCTTCTCAGCTAGCTCGGAGTTTAGAGCTAGTGATTCTCCTATGAGCACAGCTTTGGCCACAGCCCATGGTTTTGCTGTGATGTTTCCACGTACTTTTCTAGCCAGTCTGCAGGTTCAGTTTTGACTTCTTCATGATTCGGTGAAATCTCCATAATTAGGAATCAAATTGCAAGCCCCACACAACCTCTAGAGTAGCACCCCCACCAGCTAAGGAAGTGGGAGGCGTTGCGGGTGGGGGTGCCACTCAGGAGGCTGTGTGGTGCTTGCAATTTTGATGCACACTTCTCCCTAGAGGGCCTGATCTGTCTGTGAATTTCCCTCAAACTTAGCTGTGTATGATACAGCAAGCAGGTCCAGGGAGGTCCTGCGTTCTTGTGCCATGCTCCCACACCGGCTGTGGGTGACCCACAGCCTCCACATTCATGTGAGGAGTCAGTCTCGATCCAGTGGCTAGGGAAGTGTGTGGCATGCTTGGGCTGGACTGCAGAGGAGGGGCTGGTGGGACAGCAGAGACTCCACACCCAGTCCTGCCTTCTGGTTCTGTTTAGAAGTTGAAAATGATGAAGGGCTCAAAGGCTGGAAGAGGGAGAGGGAGGAGAAAGGGAAGAGATGGGGAAGAGGAAAGAAGGGGAAGGAAGAGAGGAGAGAAAGAAAAATGAGAGATGGGAAGAAAGAGAGGGAGGAGAGATGGGGGAATGAAAGGAAAGAAATGGAACAGGAGTGCATTCACCCCTCAGCCCTTGAGCTGGGCAGCTGCACTCTGGTTCTGTGCCCTGCTGTGCTGTCCACCTTTCTTCATTTTCTCTGTTCTGTGAGCCCACTGGGCCCATAGAGTGTACGTGTACCGGATGTACCAATATGCGTGTTCTGCAAGTCCCATTTGGGGATGTCATCCCCAGTGCCCTGAGTACAGCCCCCATCTGAACCAGAACTCAGTTCCAGTTCAGACAGGAACCTTGGTGTCTCAGGAGGATGGGTGACCGAGCCCATCCCACCTTCCTCATCCCACACCCTGATGTGCCAGGCCCTGACACTGAAATGACAAAGGACAGGAAGAGGGCCTAGGATACCATCCCAGCACCCTCCTGCCACATCAGGAAGCAGAAGGCAGCACGCAGTTGGCTGTGTCAGCTAGAGAAGTGACCTATGAACAACTGGTTTAGTTCCACACAGCGTTCCCACCACCCTGGGAGCTCCAGGATATACATGCATCTATGAGTTAGGAAAGATGGAGCGTGGAACCTTGGTGTTTCTGCTCTTATCTGAGCATCTACAACGGCACACTGCAATTTAAAAATAAAGAGTAAAATTCAGGCTAGCAATGTCAAAAGTTTAACTTTTCTTTACTAAGAATGACATCAAATAGCAAATCAGAAACACCCCAGTATAGAGCAAGAGAGTCCTCGGGACAGCAGGAGCAGTGTCCTTGAGTCCTCGAGGCTGCTCTGTGTCCTGGACCCATGTCTTTGTCCTGCCTTGGGCCCTTAGGGTACGGGGAATGTTCCCAGGGTGAGTGTGAGCGCCCCTTTGAGAAGCAGAGGCTGAGATGGGGAAGATGGGGGTCGTGCCTGTGAAGGATGAGGGGAGGCAGCTGGTGGAGACAGACGGTGGAGGGGGCCAGGCAGGATGATGCCAGGCCAGGGTCCCTTTCCCAAGAGGTCCTGGCCGGCTGGTGCAGGTCCTGTTGAAACTACCAAGCACATGGGTTGGCAGAGGGTGGGAAAGATTGGCACAAGGACCCTTCCACACCCCACCTTTAACTGGGAATGGCCAGGAAGAGGAGGCCATGTTTTAAAACTGGTGAGGGTCCCCAAGACAGCAGCTGGGGCTGGTGGCCGGTGGGACTTGCATTTGGAGCCATACAGCTGCTGCACAGGCTTCAGGCAAAGTGAGCCCTGGAAGAGACAGACAGAGAGTTAGAAATGAGTGTGTCACCGGGTAGGAAAGGGCGGTATCAGCAAAGGAAAGTAAGGGTTAGATATCACCTTAAAAAACAGACTCGAAGGGACAGCTTAGATGTCTGAAATGGTTGAGACGGTGAATCAGTAGGAGACTGCTGGGTGGTGGGGCTGCAGGAGGAATGCATGAGGTGGGAGGCAGGCAGGGGATGGAAGGCAGTGGCCCCAGCTGACTCTCCCCAAGCCTGTCCATTCAGGGCACAATTTTGCCCCCATTTTGTTGTCTGGGGTCCACAGGGGAGTGAGGACCATGGTTCTTGTGTGAACACACTTCCACAGAGGATCTGAGGTATGGCCCAAGGGTACATGCTGAAGACCAGAGGAGTCATATGGCTGCAAGGAAGTGCCCATGCGTGTCCCAAAGAATGAGAGTTGGAGACAGGCCGAGGGACACAGAGGATGCTGCTGAGCCAACTGAGGACAGCCCCAAATCCTGTCCCCACCAGCCAGAAGGCAGTTGGAAGGCATAGGGGGAGGAGTGGGAGGGCTCAGGCGCACCCACTTCGGCTCTCGGGAGGTGCTCTAGTGTGCATGTTGAGGTCCTTCAAGGGCCACATGATAGGGGATTTGTCCTGGGGTGCTGTTGCAAGGTGCTGTGGACCTTCAGAAGGCAGGGCCTGGTGGCAGATCCTCAGGTCACTCAGAAGTGACAGGAAGTGGGCTGTGGGACACAGTGCCTTAGCCTTTCTCTTCACTTCCTGCCTTGTCATGGAGTGCTTTGCTCAACATGCGCTCGGCCCCTGTGTCCTGCCCGTGACAGGGGCGCAGAGCCTGAGACCACCCGGCCTTGGACTGGAACCTCCAAAACTGTGAGCCAAAGCAAACCTTTTCTCCTCTTAAATTACTGCTTTGGCTGTTTCTTTAGAGTAACACGGAGTTGACTAGTGTATCAGGTAGACAAAAAAGAGCCTTAAATTCAGGGCAATTGCCAGAGAATAAAAATAAGCATAGATCAGTAGAAGAAAACTCAGATGTTTAGTGAGAAATAGACAATATTAGGCAGAAGTTTAAAATAAGATGACAAAATAGGTGTTGATAATAAATAGGTGTAAATAATTGCTGTAATTGAAGTAACTGCTGTAAATGTAAGTTTACATAGACTTAGAAATTTCAACAGTAAGTTACTTTTAAAAAGTTACTTAAAAAGAGATCTAAGAAGTTTAGTATGAAAATGTTAGCAAAAGACATAGCAGGAAAATATAAACCACAGGAAACTAGGCTGACATCTTAATATATACAACACTCAAATCTAAAGCAAAAAAATATAAAGTTTTCAAATCCCCAAATAATAGACAAAGAGGGACACACATGCCTATTGATGAAAGGAGCCACAGAATGGCACTGTACATCCATCAAACCCACTTAAATATCTAAGAGACTGGCCTCAATACATACCCAGCAACATCTGCAGGGCTGTGGGGAGAAGAACAATTCCCCAATTGTAATTGGAGCTGGTGTGTATGTGTGAGTGTGGTGCTGGGAATCACACCAGGGCCCTGTGCATGTTAGGAAAGCTCTCCCTCTGAGCTACATCCTGAGCCTGTAATCCAGCTTTTAATGAAAATAAAATTAATAGCTTAAGCTGACAAAACTTAGCAAAGAGCCCAAACCTTGGTCAATATAGTTAATAATCTTGAACTATTAAATATATACGGAACTCTGTACTCACCAGAGAGCAAAATGACTGGTGCACAGATAGAGCATTTATAGAAATGAGCGGCGTATTAGGACCCAAGGAGGCCTTGGGCCCACAGAGCTGCAGCCCCACGCAGACAGGGCTCTGGCCTTGTTTGTGCATGTGGTTCATCTGCCCACCATTTGGGAGAGCCCCAAGTTTATTGTATTGCAAGGGAGCTCCTGCCCTGTTTCCCTTCACATGTAGCTTAGGGGAGCAGCAGGCTGCTGTCCTCTCCCTTCCTTTATCATCTCACTCCTCCCTTCAGGGCTACACCTTCTCCCCTGCAGGCTGTGGAAGCTGCCAGGCCCTAGGGACTCTGGGTGGCCCACAGCTGTGCTAATCAAACACTTTCAAAATTACCCAGTTTGAGTGCCACCTGCTTCCTGTCAGCATCTTGACTGAGTACACTTTGTCTCTGAAAATAACGCCACTAAATTGGAATTGGAAGGTTATAATAAATACTACTGAGAAGTAAATGATGTCACTGAATAACCCACAGGTTTCCAGGGAGATCAGGAAGGACAGTAAGAGATATGTAGGTCTGGGTGATAATGAAAACATTCTAGACACATCTGTGGGGCCCATTGAAGGTGGTGCTACAGAAGGGATTTTGAGCTTTAAAGAGGTGCCTCCAAAACCGAGAGATTTAAAAGGGAGCTAAACACATAGCTGAAGGCAGAGCTGAAGATCAAATTCAGGGAAGCCAAAGGATGGAAATAATAGATGAGGACAGAAACACATGAAATAAAAGGAAAGATGAGACTAACAAAACTGAAAGTTGGACCTCTGAAAATATTTAAAAGTATACTAAAAATGCAAATAAAATACAGAACAAAAGGAAATAAATGCAAAACAATAGACATAAGCATAGGCCAAGTCATGTAAAGGTACAAGATCCCAATGATGAATGTAATGTATACCTAAAATGTACCAATAGAATCAATGAGAAAAAACAATAAAGCCAACTGGGGCCAATATGAGGCGAGAGAGATTGAGGGGTGGGGGAGAAAGAGCATAGGCCAAGCATAGTGGTGTATACCTATAATCTCAGCATTCGGGAGGCAGAGGCAGGAGGATTGCACAGTTTGAGGCCAGCCTGTGCTACATGAGGCATAAAAGATATAAGCACACATATGCTAGTAATCAAAAATTTAAAAGACATAGATTAATTCCTAGAAAGACATCAGATGTCAGATCACTTATTAGAAAATATCAGTTGCTGTAAGGAAGAGAGAACTTGACCAAATCAGGTCAACTTGACCTGATAAAGCATCCCCTCCAGGGGCTCAGTCGATTTTATTGGTTCTATGGAGAGGAAGACAATTACTTTCTTGCGCGTGCTGGCGGCTCTGTGACTAGGTGACGCTGGTTTGGAGGGAGGGGCGTTGGTCTCAGCCGCAGAGTGAAGGGTGCTGGCGGGCTCCTTGACAGACTCCGGCTCTCGTCCGGGTATGGCCGCCTTCCTCTCCGCTGCTCCGAGCAAACGGTACACAGGGTACAGCCTGGCACCTGCGGCTGTGGGAGCCCAGGTGAGGGGGTCCGGGGTTCCAGAGGCGCGACGTCACCCTCCCACCGCCGCAGTGCGGACGAGCCCCTCGCCTTAGCCGCCTCCACGAAGGGAAAGGGTGGGGTGCCCAGCGTGGGTCCAGGGTGTGTTACACGGGTGAGGGCTCCTGGAGGGTTAGTCAGGGCGTGGGGCAGTTGGTCACCCAGAGAATGGGGCTGAGGGGAGTCTGCCGCGGCGACTCGGGAGAAGCCGGGTTGCGTCATCCCGCCAGGAGAGGGTGTGCTGTGCCTGAGGCCCACGTGTTGTACCCCGGGGCCCGCCCCCAGGCCGCTCCCCTTCGTCCTTTCTCGGTGCAGGACCCCCAGCCCCCAGCTTTGCCGTGTGCCCCAGCCTGTCCTGGTCCCCGCTGCGGCAGGTGGCTGCTGTGAGGATGCGGGCCTGGTGTCTGGGCGCGGAGGTCTGGGTGGGGCC